TTAGAAGTTAAGACCCTAGGATATTATAGATACTGTGTTAGAAGTTAAGACCCTAGGATATTATAGATACTGTGTTAGAAGTTAAGACCCTAGGATATCCTAGATACTGTGTTAGAGGTTAAGACGCTAGGAGATCATAGCTCCAAGATCCTTCCAAGAATACTCAATAAGATCATAAATAAATATAGATGCTATTCTCTTACAAAGAACATCTTGACATTTCCATGCTAGTGTTTGTGATGACTAACAAGTGAACTTAATAACATACATAATCAGATATAATCAATAGGTTATAGAGTAATCTACATGTATTTAGTACAATTGGTTGGTAGATGACAAGTTAACATTTAGTACCAGTTATATAGTACAGTTCAGGATCACTGACTGAGTTATTCTGTTTACTGTTAGGAATTCTGATACTGGTATTGAAATATCTTGTTATCTTATTTAGGAGAGGAAATCATACACTCATATAGATCAGATAGATATATGCACTGTATTTGCCAGGAAAAATTACTAGCTCGGCTCTTGATTTGATATTTATGCAGTCAAGTCTGGTAGAGCCCTAAAAGTCTTGATCCTTAAAATCTAATTCTATTAAGCATTTGAACAGTTGGATATATACAGACATGGACAAAAATTGATATTTTGTTAAATCAAACTTAAACTTATATACTGAAGAAAGTCAACAGCCAGACATTCTACCACTTATCAGACTTGACTGGCAAATACACCCCGTTGAACCACCCTTGTCTTATTGTTGACCTGTTAGAAATTTGATTTGATAACAAGCCCACACACCATGTTATATAAGGGTGATCAAGACAGTAGATATTTACCACACCAATAAACAATACCAGATGTTATTTTCTAATTAGTCTACTGCCTTTCCGATCTATACACACTATATCAAAATGAAATGAGAATTGGAAAGCCATTTTTTGTGTTCACAGCTCACTGTCCGCAATTGAATGTTGAAATGATGACTTGTTATTATAAGATACCCTGTGATATATAGAAAAGACATAGAAATAGAGTAAAATTCCTAGCTTTAGATGTTTATACCATTTTTGCACATTTCTAGTACGTCTGAAGACTATTTATATATTCTAAAGACTCAAAACAACCCCTGTAAATGACGCACCAGTCCCTTTAAAGTGTATTCTGTCAACATGTGTTTGCCACAACAGCATTACAAGTTTTTATTATATATGCTATTCTTGGCCCCTATAATTTAATCAAATAAATAAGATAGCCTGCCTGCTTCAAATTTCAGACCTATAATTCCATAAAAAATTACATTATTTTAAATTGTAGTAACATTATCAACTTGTCTGAGATCTCATCAATCTACCTCAACCAATCCAATATGGTATTGACATGCTGAAATTAATCAGTTTTGAAAAATTAGGGTCAATAACTTTACCAACAAACATAACCATTCTATATTCATTACATATATATATACCAGTATCAAGACAATCCAGAAAGTCCAGTCATTCTTGCCAGTGAATGTTATTGAAAATAAGACTAGTTACACAACTGAAATTAAAGCTTGATCTTCCACAGTCGTGTCTATTGTATTTCACGTTAGACTCGTTAAATTGCTTTTAACCTAATTGTTTGACAGTATACTATAGTTTTTGAATCAATAATGGTTCTGTCTTTATCTTCATACTCATTACAGTAACTTACAGCTATTTCGAACTATTGACCAAGTATTCACATCAAGGTTCAATCTAAGCGGTATCGAATCGTAGTTTGCAATTCAAAATGACTTCTTTTGTGATCCAATATTTCCTTGGATTAGCCAAAGGTAAAATTCATCACAACAATCTGCAAATCAAATTGAAAGTTTAATACTGGAATATTTTAAATTGCTACAGAATTTTTAAAAATGCGAATCAAGATTTAAATTGATTAACCAAAACTAAAATTGGGTGTAATCTATCAAATTTTTCGATCTATTAATTGAATCCTGATTCACATATGTTTACCAACTTATCCACTATTCTAGGGCTTGTTACATTTGTTTGAAAATATTACCTTTACGATTCCTTTTTGAAACACCTGATGGTACTCCATTTGGAGGAGTCCACTATTGTATAACTCTCAACTCTCCATTTTACCAAACTTTTATAACCTATTATTCACCAAGTATTACTCTTCATGATTGTTTTCAGTTTTCAAAACTAAAATAGACTTTCATGTTTATCTTTCTATAAATGGAGATACAAAATAAGAATTTTACAGAATCTATAATTTAATAATAACTTCATTGTCTTGTCTTGTCTTTATTTTGGGATTGTTATTTCCATTAAAATTTCCCTAAATAAATATTGTTGTCTCTTTTACAAGAGAAATGATAACAAAATTCAAAAGTTGCCAAGAATTATGATTTGGGGGATATATGACAATAACATTTCCTTCAATAGCACACTGCAGCAGGTAGGCTAACCCTCATGTTATTAACCAATGTAATAAAGATGTGTATGTCACATGAGTAAACTGGCATATAAACATGTTATAAACATTTCTTTGAACAAATGAAACTCATGAATATTTTATGAATATGTTCGTAATTTAGGACAATAAAAGACGGATGCAAGAGATTTGGAAATGAATATCTTCTGGAATTACATTAGTCAATATAATCTGAATTATCTCTAGGAGAATATGAAATTCTAGTAGTAGAATTCAATTCAGGATGAAATACTTTGCGTTGGCGTAATCCAATAGAATAGTTGGTTCCTTTATAATACTCTTATCACATAGATTAATATAACATAAGCTTCTATACATAACAATCCTTCCTCATATTATTCTTTATTATTATTTCCTTGTAAATAAGAGATGTAATACAGGAAATATAAAAGTCAAGAAGCTTTGTCAAGGACCAGTTGGTAGACAGATCCTTGGGAAAGTTGATGTTTCTTCAATTGTCTTTATGTTTCCCTTATTTATTACAGCAAGTTGAGAAGGAGCTGTGACACAGACCACAAATGGTGGTTGTGGGTTCTAATCTTGGTCAATATTTGAATGTCTGGTGACCATGAGTAAGAGTAAGGCATCTTCCCTCATTATTCGATATAGTTGTAAATTGGTCAGAAGATTCAGCCAAGGACCAGCTGATGAACAGAATCCTTGTTACCAGAAACAGTTACTGAGGCAAGTACACAAGCACACAGAGGCAAGTACTTTCAACCTTTCTCTAATGTCATTTGATCATGTCATACAATTAAAAATGTTCGATCAACAGCTAAATGTCTGAGAGTTCCATAAAACTGTTATATACACCACAAATAGATACAAAAATAGTTTAGAGCAGTCCCAAGACGTGACTAGTAGATACATGAAAACCATCAAACATAGTTTATTAGAGAGCTTTAATCCAGAAAATCAAATAGCTGGACTCTCTCAACTTATTTATCTTCCAATAGATAAGAGTTCTAATATTTCTTGTAACTGACGTCAATGACCAAATAAGGATTTATCTAGGAGTGATGCCAAGAATGGATATAAACCTCTTCAAAGTATTTGCTTTCTTGAAGATATCCTCAGATATTGGAGGAAATAGCCAATAATAGATGGACGAATAGCAATCCTCTTCACAATGTATAGCTATAAAGAACTGTCTTATACCTTGACTGCAATAGTGACTTTTTTTGTATCACAGAAGTCTGTAAATGCAGCGACTTCATTGGATCATGCATTACCAACAGAGCCAATCAGAGACTAGAAAGAAAGACTATAAGCAATTTGGTTGTGCATCTAATCATGAGATATGATAAGCTGTATTTGGTAGCGTACCATCCAATCAAATCATTGCATTTACAAACTTCCTTGATACAAGAAAGGTGCCTATTGTAGTCAAGGCATTACACACAGATTGTAATAGCTTGACATTGTGAAGATGGGTGTCAATATGATACAAGAATACACACCTAACTGACATCTGATATAGGTACTCAAGATACTGATAAGGACTTGAGATACAGAACAAGTCATGACCAATAGAAACAAGATATTGGAGAAAGTGACTATTTCCCAAGTTTCTTGAAAATGATTAATGACAAATTTAAGTCTGAAGAAAACAACATTTTTAATACAGAGAGAAGTATCTCTATCTTTTATGGGTATTAATCTACAGTCAAACTGTGTTTAAATAAACTCTGAAAATCTAGAAACCCAGATATCCACAGGCTGTTCATCAGCATAGAATATTTATAATAGCAAAATGGGAGCATTCATATCATAAAATGAAAGGAATTTACATCAATTCAGTGTGCTATGAGGGAAATTTTGCCATGACTGTGTCATTAATATGCTTTCAATTTCCAACAGTCTAGGTCACAAAGTCTTTTGATATAACTTTCTTCACAAGTTCCCATGTGTCTCGAAATGAACTAATGCCACACTTTCACAGGAATTCGACCTGAACACAGCATTTCTCATTTCAGTTTTCAATTTCATTTGAGAGCAACCAATTAATCCACAAGGTAAACAATATGATAGAAGTTTGATAAATGAATAATGATAAAAGGTAAATATCAAACAGAGTATAATAAACTAAGATAGGAAAATAGCATGTTGATCAAGCTAACAATTATTATGTAATATGTCAAGAGTCTACTGTCTAGGTCAAGTCTGTAAACAAAAGGTAACAGTAAATCTGGATTCAAATTTACAAAACAAAAAAAGGTTTCTTTAATAGAGGAAACTGACCTCTTTTTTTGACAAAAGCACCGTCTATTAAAGATACGTTAGACTGTAGTTTAAATAGTGCTGTTTTGGATGGGATTATTTCTTAATTCTTTGAACACTGAATGTAAAAAAAACAAAATGTCATACATCCTGAATTACAAGTAATTGGCATATGACAGTAAGCTTAATTAAATTACTGCTTTTTTAAATAGTTCACCATGACCTATGTGTTAGCATGAATCTTGTTACCAATGCTATCATATACAAATAATCCTTAAGTGCATTGACAGAACCATTTAAGTGCAGTGTAACAACAATTTAAGTGCACTGTAAGAACAATTTAAAAGCACTATAAGAACAATTGAAGTGAACTGTTAGAACAATTTAAGTACATTGTAAAAACAATTTAAGTGCACTATAAGAACAATTTAAGTACATTGTAAAAACAATTTAAGTGCACTATAAGAACAATTTAAGTACATTGTAAAAACAATTTAAGTGCACTATAAGAACAATTTAAGTACATTGTAAAAACAATTTAAGTGCACTATAAGAACAATTTAAGTACATTGTAAAAACAATTTAAGTGCACTACAAGAACAATTTAAGTGCACTATAAGAACAATTTAAAAGCACTTTAAGAACAATTTAAAAGCACTGTAAGAACAATTTAAAAGCACTATAAGAACAATTCAAGTGCATTGTAAGAACAATTTAAGTGTATTGCATTAAGGACATGCATTTCATCAGTGCATGATGATGCCACTATAAGAATGGCACGATATTTAGACATGTGTAGTTATTGTGCAATCATTGGTTCCTGAGTGAAATTAGATTGCAATAATCTGGAATCATGGTTCATGGTATTAGATTGCAATGACCTGGAATTGGCGCTGTCATGTCAATGAGAATATATAGTAAGGAAAGATAAGTTGATTGAGCTATCATCTACAGCATGCCTGGAGAACAGAATGTGATTAACTCTTAGTCATCAACATTGACAATAGTAAAATGGTGATCATCTTAAAGGGCAATAGTCTAGAAACTTTAACTCATGTCATCAAGGCTTCTGATCGTACATAAAATACCATCAAAATATCAAGACCGTAACACAACAAAATTTTGGTCTCCTAGAAAAAATACCCTAGTTAAGGCCCTGAATGTTGAAAGTACATCAAAGAATGACAAAGATTGGCAGACAAAGTAGTATGCAAAGTATTCCTATATCACTTGAATTCAATACAATTTAGAATGTTTTAAATATATATCGTGCTGGATATTCTTTCATAAAATAACATTATGATTTAGAAATACCTCATGGATTATACAATATTAGGAACATTATTTCAGATGCAGGAGTGCAGATTCATACATTTCAAGGAAGTTCCAAATTCGGACCTACTTAAAATTTTATGTCCTTTTGGGCTAATGAGTTGTGCAAACTCTGTGCTAATATGTGTAAATCATTACAAAGTGATGCAAAACTAAAAGACTTCATATAAGAATTATTATGCAAATGAAGCACTACTCCTCTGAAAAGGTTTTTATTATGTCATAGGCTGCTGATAATGTTTTGATCGACTAACGTATTGAATATATATTATATATATTAGTCAATTAATAGCAGGTTACCTTCCTTTTAACTCAAACCTGTCAATCAACCAAGCAATTTGTAGAAGAGACTGGAATACAAGTGATGAGAACTGTATATTACAGCTACACTATGTAATTTATATATGGTTAGTGGCGTTGTTCTCCTACTTTCTACTTCTGATACAATAGCGGATGTATGAGGACTCCAAAACATCTTGAGAATCTAACTACATCTTTAAGTGGGTGTCTGAAGATCGCATAGCGTGAAACTCTGAGTAACAACATGTTTCAAGTTCTGGTTTAATATTTCTAAATCTTTTAAGCAGACAAGTGAAGACAGTTTTCAAATTTCAGCAGAGAATAACAATTAAACGAGAACAATTCATGTTGCTGAAATGAACTTTTATTCAAAAGAGGGGTAACAACCAAATAAGTATGTACATTATAATTGCTAGATTACTTGTTAGATATAGTGTTCAGTCATCTATTTGACACCCCTACATTTCATTGAACTCTTCCACACATGCATTTTGATTAATAATTCTAAAACTGAACAGTATGATTGGAAGAGCTCATTTGTAATATAAGGGGTGTTTTTAGTAACCTGTCATATTACACTCAGCCTTGATTGGTGTTCAACAAATTACAGATTACCTAATGGGAAATGAGATTGACATAGCTTTCAAAAATATCAATCTGAGATTTTGGTGACACTTGCCTTTATATTGATGGCTATTTTCTTGTGTCAACTTTTAAATAGGAGTTTGTCTTCAAAAAAAGGAGAAAGAGGCAAATGTTACCACTTTTAAGATATAATATGACAACAATCTCTATCATACAGTAAACTATACAAAGTTTGCAACCCTCTTGGAAAAGTAGAAAGAAGGGGTGTTGGTTGGTTGGTTGGTGTAGGTGCACTTAACATGCTTTCTATTGTACTGTATTGTTACTATGCCTTGAAAATATTAAATTGAAACATGTTGGCAGTAAAAATTAATTATCTTTATCGGTGTTATATATATATATTAATTATCTCAATAACAATATTCAACAGATAATGATAAATAATAAGCTTATACAACTCAACTGACATGAATAATAAAATACACTTTAAGAAAAACAATGAAAGTAAAAGTAAAGCAATAAGCCAATGAATTGAATAGAATAAAAATGATGAATAACTGAGAAGGGAAATAATGAAATGAAATGTAAAGAATAAAGGCAGTGAAATGAAATGAATTTATAGAAAGACAGTGAAATGAAATGAATACTTGGATGTTAAATGAAATGAATGAATGCAGTGAAATGAACTGAATACTTGGATGTTAAATGAAAAGAATAAAGGCAGTGAAATGAAATGAATACTTGGATGCTAAATGAACAGAATAAAAAATGAAATGAAATGAATAAAGGCAGTGGAATGAAATGAATAAAGGCAGTGAAATAAAATGAAAAGCATTCAAATGAAAAACAATGAAATAAAACCCACAGCCACTGAAACTTAAGAAGATTAAAAATGAAATATGAACACTGATATTAAAAGATATTTACTTGAAATTTGCCTGATCCAGGTCGAGGCCCTTTTGATCTTGATGCTGTCCCTGGCTTAATATCCCACAATTTTGGCGTTGGGCGAGTGATGTTTCCACCCTAGGAAGAATAAAGGAAAGAAAACTTAATTGATGGTAAAGAAATATATTTGGCAACAGAGGTCAATTTTTCTAAGGATCCAATCAGAGTGGCAGTACACAATATTTTCATCATTATCAACATTGTAAGTAATATATTAGGTTTCCAACACCATCTAAAAACATACCAGGTCCAATTTTGTCCAAGTTTTACATTAATCTTTCACAGGGACAGATAGGTCATTTTTTTGACCAATCATACTTTAGTGTCAGAAACTGTAATTGTTTAGCTGAGCTAATCAGTAATAGTGTTCACTGCTCACCATCGAAAATTTAACCTTCAAATCCATGTGTGTCCAGAATTATCCGCTTTTAAATGACGACTCGTCAATTTAAGATACTCTGTGATATATAGGAAAGACATATATAAAAATAGTGAGTAAAATTCCTACTTTGAGATATTTCTGAAGGAATTATGTGATTTTCATACATTTAAGTATTTTAGAAGACTATTTACATATATCAAAGACTAAAATCAACTCCCCAAAATGGCACACCTGTTCCTTTAAAGAGTTTTAGCGTTCTGAAAATTAACTACAAAACTCTCAGATAATAATATAAGGGACACATTTCTCTGGACTTGGTCTATGGTTTTTATTAATTCTGCCTCTTTAATCAACCCAATGTGAACTATGCTTAATGGAGAATGAAGGATCTTCAGAGCCTCTTGTGGAACAAGGCATTAATAGAACTATATATAGACAACAGGTAGTGCTCATGATGATTTGGTTAGTGCCAAAATAACCAAGTAACAGGAATTACTATAGTGATATGTGAAAGGGAGGCTATGATATTTATGATGATATTAGATTTCTGTTATATGTAACAAATGAGATGACAGGCCCCGAGGAGAAAGATGGTAAATGCATTTCAATGGCTTGAGACTTTAAGAGTTGAAGATGGATCAGGACTTGGTTCATAATGTCTTCTTGTCAGTAGCATGATGCATGGTCTTAGCTCTGAGAATTGATCTACTCAAACTGAAAGGATGCTATTTCTGATCAAATCAGTGAGCAAAACGTTAAATACATACTGGTAAAATATTCTTTTCTTTTTTTACTCTTTTAGATATGGCCTAACTTAGTTACAGAGCAGAAAAGCACCAAAACTAGTGCTAACAAATCCTTCAAAGGGAACATTGCATGTAAAATTGTTAAGCCAAATGTTAAATCACTCACAAACACATTTGAAGTAAAAAAAACAAAAAAATTACAAGGATGGTGTGCAATTAATTTCAATTTTTTCTTTTTTTCAGACATTTTAAAAGATAAAAGAAACAGGTAATTTAAGCCATCTGTTCAATACAGCCTTTGAATATGTCATTTTTCTAATTAAGTCACAGTCACACACAATAATATCATCTATCAAATATAAATATATACATATACATGTGTAAGGATCAGTTACAACAACAAAACACGGACTTCCTGCAGTAAATAGACCAACGTATATCTTTATTCTGTATATGACATATTTTGTGAGGGTTGGTATCAAATCCCAACTGACCACTTACACCAACTGGTAAATTTCATATTACATAATATTAGTATCCCAACTCATGCCATATTCATATCTGATTGAATAATTGGTGTGGTTGGTCGGTTGGGATTTTAAACCCCCCCCATTTCCATGGTGTTATTCCTTATTCACTTCTACAACCATAAAGAATCAACATGAAATGTAAAAGACTTACCCGTTTTTCACCCAGGTTTAAAACTTTAGTATGAAGCTGCCTAGTATATGAAGTTGACCAATCTATTGGAAGCAAATTGCCAAAATTCCCAGTTATAGTCCACCACATTCTGAAAATATAAAAATACCAGTTTTTATCAAAATTTCATTGCATGTAAATTGTTTGAACGTTGTATAGGCTACAATAAAGAACCTACAAGTAACATACCACAATTTTGTGTTCCGTTACCCCCTTAACTTTATATTGAATTCTTCATCACATGCATTTATTAATATCAATTATAAAACTATACACATACGATTGGAAGAGCTCATTTGTAAAATGAGGGGCATTGTTTTTTGTCGTCTGTCAAATAATTGCTTGTAGTAATGAACATATCCCTATACTACCTGAAAGTATGAACGATCCAAAATGCAAAACGAAACCCAATATCCAAAACAAATTGGCAAAACATTGGAAGCAACTAATGATTTTTTCACAAGGGTAGTGTATGAATTAAGTGAGAAAGTATTTTAAAATAAAAGTGGTATCAGGTGTCTGGAAGAGTATGTATTATTATATGATTGTTATATTGTACAATCTAATATACACCTAAACCATGTAAATATCAATTGTTATCAATAAGTATGATATATAAATCATTGTAAATATATCAATATAACAAGTAATATAACAGATGTTGATAACATAAAACTATTAATAATATACACATAATGTGACAATGTGACAAATATATCAAATAAAATCTGTAGTAATACATATAGTAACAAATGTTAGATTTAATAGTTTGTATAGTGATAGAAAGTCTCGACAAGGTTTCGAACCCATGGCACCGAATCACGTACCAATTCAACTCTCTACTTAGCCGATTGGGTTTTTTTTTGAAAAGAAAATAATGATATGGAATAATGATAGGAATAAATACTTGGTAATATCTAAATCTAAAAATATTTTGAATGGCTTGAAGGACTTATGCCTACTTTGCTTATGAAGTAAAGCAAAAATAACCAAGAGACCCCAAATCTCACAATATAAAAGTTATGATTGTGTTTTAGAACAAATGAAATCAAATGAAATAAATTGAGTTTTACGTCCTACTCTTCTGCACCTTGTGGGCTAATGAAGACGGGCAATGCCATACAGGGTGCCATGAGGGAAATTTTGCCAGGACAGCAGCATTAGCCTGCTCTTTTTTCGATTTCCAACTGTCGAAGGATCTTAAACGTGCACAGCCTGTAGCACATGGGGCCTCGGTTTAATGTCCCATCCAAACGACCAGACGCTTTTTCCATGTCAGCCCCTCTTACCTGCATCACTGACATGGGGAAGTGTTTTAGAACAAGTCAGTGCATTCGTTTTTAAACCATCAATAATAACACAACCTTCAAGTATATTGATTTGGCAGCTTGACATTTTATTATGATGTTTATGAAAGAGTACCAGGGTTATTGTGTTAAATACCAGAAGATGAGATGTAGATGAGATAAATATATCGATTCTATACTTCAGGTCAGATGCTAGTCTATTAAAAAACTTCCGTTATAAATGTTAAAACATGCTGTAGGCCTGTATTTATAGCTGAATAGTTATATAGAATTCATGTTCTATGCCAAGATAACTCTATCAATTTGTATAAAATCAATCAGTTCTATGAGTCATAATGAATCCTAAAATAACTCTATTACTTCATTCTGATGACGAACATGACAGGCGACATAAATATTATCATCAATCAATCTATCTCAGATACCTATAGTTTCAATACATAGATTTCATTACATTATTAATATTCAATATATCATCTCCTCAGAACTAGAATCACAGTCATTACATGTAAATTGTGTTGTAACATTATGTACTTTGTTATCAAAGAAGTGTGTTATACCATAGTTTATTCTCTTCGTGTTTTTGTTTATACTCTCTGTATCTAAAAGTAGTTCAAATCTTATTAGAAATATTAACAGGCAGTATCATTTGAAGTTTCATTATCAAAAACATTTCTACTTGATAACATTACCTGTATGTGTTTCGAAATGTAGTATGTAATAAAACTAGAAGTAGTATATCCATTATCCATATAACTTGTGTTCTTAAGTTCAATTTGTTTTGAAAGGGTTAATAAAATTTGGAGGGTACTATAGTGTGAAAATATCCAGAGTCTAAAAGCAGAATTAAAGCAGACCCTAGATATCACTTGAAAACATTACTTTTGAAAATCACCTTGAAAGAAATCTGATTTCATCAAGAAATTGATGCATTTAAATACACTCATTAGACTGCCTTCATTTAGTATAATACTTCAAATATTTCTGCAATAATCACTTTACTCTTACAATTTGTCTTGCAGTTAATTCAATTTCACTAAATTTCTTGGTGCTCTTCAAAGAAATCAAAGAAATGAAATTGGTCATAAAAGATAGGCAATTAGTCTAGTCACGCAATGCAATCTCTAGGCTTCTTTTTTATACTTTTTCATCTTTTCCTCATGTCTTTGTGTCAAAGTTTGGCTATTTGTTGATGTAAACAATATAAATATCAAATCACGATAGAAATATTAATTTTTTCTACATTTACTGTCAGGGGCAAAAACTCTTCACCTCAAATCAGCAAATAAAAACTCCGCTGAGACAACTGATTTATTTTCTCGAGAGATTTAATCGGGCTAATATTTCCTTAGATTGAAAAAGAATTACCTTGTATTCAACTAATAACTTTATGCGACCAGATTGTGGTGTGTATTAGAATGTATCTGTTGCAAAAACTCAGATTTGTACTCAGAAAATTTGATGAATTAAAGGCCCAAGGAACTGACAATTTTGAGGTGCCAAAAACAAATCTAAAGCTATGTATCTGTTTGATTTTGTACAAAGACACTGCAAATGAATCAATCTCTACTGAACTGAAGAAGGTTTTACTAGGCTTAATTCTCACTTGCTGGGGTCTAGCCCCCACCCTAATGACAGGGCTGTCTCAGCAATATCCTAGAAGCAATGTTGGAAGTTTTAACAAAGTAGGACATCCTAGCCAATGATCAAGACTACACAGTCTGAATATGAACGAATTGACCTGTTTTCTTCCTGATGTCAAATCATTTTAGACTACAC